GTTATGAATGTTTTTGAGTTATTTTTATTCTTAATATAATTTTATTTATTTTTTACTGTGAAATAGATCATATATACAAATTTAGAATAATACTACTATATTTTCTTCAAAAATGTATATATTCTATTGCATGAATATACTATATTTTATCAGTTTTACTGTCCCAACTTTGCTATTGATAGAGAATTTAATTTTTTACTTTTACTTTTGCTGTTATAAAATGTACTTTTATAAACATTCTCAAACATATCTAGTTTTTCCAGTGATATGTTTTGCATTTTCTTATGTGTGCCTGTTTAACCAAATTTCCCCATTTGTATAGTAAACTTTGGGAAACACCAGGTCTGACCACTATTTCTAGCAGCATAAGCTGGTTGTTAGGTTGAACTGATGCACATGAACCTGAATTAGATCATTCTTCACAGAGAAACAGTCTTTGGTCCAGCTAATATTCATTACTTACTTTAGTATGTTAAAGACCACATAACCCAAATTCTTCATGAATGCTGTGCAGTACATTGAAAGGGACACAATAAATCTCCTTTCTGTTTTCTCAGCAAATTTCATTCTTGGGATATTTCTCTTAATATGGTTTCCTATGAGACACAGCATCACTAAGAATATAATAAATGAAAATAAAAAGAATAAAATTAATTCTGTAGTAAAGCTTGACTGATACGTTTGTTATATTTTGTTTCCACTCATTTTACATTGGCCTAGAGAAAAGAGGTTTGATAAATAAAGTTCATTATTTTCTCCCCAAGTAGCTTACAAATTTAAAATAGCCTAAATACATACAGCTGCAGACATTCATTTCATTCCCACAGTATATCAACCATCGACTGAAACTAAACTAGTCAACCATATATTTTAAATCAGTTAAGAATAACACTTTTCAGTGAGGAAGAACATGGATAGGTTTTTAAATAAATAAATAGATCAGGTTAAAAAAATGAAGACAAATACTCTATTAGTTTCCTAATGCCACGTAAATGGAATATGTTATCTGTACCAAAGAAAAAGTTAAGAAAAAGGCTTGGAACAAATCACTGATGGACATCGATTTCTGGATCTCACTAAATTTACTATGGTAGAACATTTAATTCATAGATGCAGACTTCTCCTGTAGACCATCATTTGTCCAGTTTTTTTTTCCTAGTCTGAGACTTCATCTTTTTGAAGTGTTCTTCAATAACCCTCTGCACTATAGCAGGTTGTGAATATATGTAGTATCTTCCACTTTTTGCATTCTTATTTGAAAGTGAGGATAACTAAATGTCAAATTCTTTTAAACTATATTTTGTGGAATCTTTCTGCTGTGAATACCATACCTCTTTCCATGATGTTAGAAACATAAAATTAACTGTTTTGTGGATAATCCCTTGCCAGACAGGGAACCTGTAATAACACAGTGTTAAAGTCTGTAGTGAAGCTTTCCTCTTCCGATTGCAATGACATGAAGGGACAATTTTCTTGTCATCCTCAGATGCTTTTACAAATCAAACAAACCTGGGTTAAAATTGTCTTGGTTTTTAATATCTTCATTTGTTCAGTTTCATAGCTAAAAACATGAAGTACTTGAAGATTAGAATTTGGCCTTAAAATTTTATAATTTTTCTTCAGCACCTGGATTTACTTTTGTTTCTTTCCTACTAGAGAGTTATTAAATTCATTTATTTAGGAATAACTGAAGTTACATGTGAGGAAAAACCATACAGTAAAAGGAAGATCAGCAAAACTATTTATCTTTGTAGAATTTATTGTTTAAAAATGTTTCTTGAATTAATATCTTCTTAGTTATTATCCCAGTGGGCTTAGTCACCTTAGTGACTAGTGCAATGACATAGAATTACACAAAGTTAATTTTCTATTCCATCCTTCAGAGGGTTCTGTACCATTTAAATGTCTGTTTCTTTCTTAAATATAAAAATATAAAATATTTTGGCATTCAAATATGGCATTAAATTTTAAACTTCCAAGTCACTGAGAGGTTATGTATCAGGTTTCAATAAACTAAAAAGAGTCTTAAATATATTGAGGGCTTTTGTTTTGGAAATATAAAATAGAAAGTATTAAAATATTAAAAGGATAAAGCTTCAGCTATTAAAATAGAAATCTAAACACAACATTTAATTTTTATGGAATTTTTTAGGAAGGAAATCAGAATATAGGCATTAAGAAGATGCTTCATTGATTTCATTAAGAGGAGTCTTCATTGCCTATATTTTTAAAATTATACTAGTGTTTAATGATATAAGGTCAAAGAAAGATCAATGAAAAAACATGTGTGTACAATGGGCAAATTCTATACTTCTTTTTTTATTTTAATTAAAAAGCCCACAACAGCATTCAGCAGTTGTCCCCAATGTTTTTGGCACCAGGGACTAGTTCTATGGAAGATAATTTCATAGAACTAGGGTGTGGGGAGACACAGGGCTGGTTTTGAAGTGATTCAGATGCATTACATCTCCACCATAGATCACCAGGCATTAGATTCTCATACTGAGTACCCAACCTAGATCCCTCACATATCCAGTTTACACTGGGGTTTACACTCCTGTTAGAATCTAGAACCGTGGCTTATCTGACAGAAGGTGGAACTCAGGTTGTGCTGAGAGCAATGGGGAGCAGCTGTAAATACAGATGAAGCTTCTCACCATCCTTCTGTGTGGCCCAGTTCCTAACAGGCCACAGACAGTATCAATCTGCAGCATGGAGTTTGAGAATGCAGGAGTAGAGAACGCAAGCCCTAAACAATAAACATTGATGTATTATTATCATCCTTTAGTATCTAATACTTAAATGATTGAAAAAATAAGATAATAAATTATACCCAAAAGTGTGAAAGAAATGTTTGTGGAATTGACATAAGCAAGCTTCTTTATAAAAATAAGGCACAAAATAAAATTTTCAAAAGCAAAAATTTTATAACATATAATTAAATTAATTATTAATCAAATTTATGATCTCTTTCACATTTAATGGCTTAATGTTTATATGTTAAAATTAAATGTTTACTTATATAAGAGGTAGACAAACCATAACTTATGGCTTGTTATTATACCGACCCAAGGGAAGAATCGTATCATATTTTTATTTTTTATTTTTTTTAACTGAATCATAGCTGTGTGCATTAATGCAATTACGGGGTACAATGTGTTGGTTTTATATGCAATTTGAATTACTTTCATCAAACTGGTTACCATAGCCTTCACTGCATACAGGTCATATATGATGTACAAAACTAAAATATTTACTATCTGACCTTTTACAGAAAACTTTTATAGACCTCTGAATTAGATAAATGCCTTGTAATTTCATTTTGTGTTAATATGACTCTCCAAATAACTGTCTTTAAATACAAAGGTATTTTGCAATTATTGTTTTTTTTACAGTTCAGGATATTACAGGGGTACACATACTTTGGTTAGATGAGTGGTATACATTGTACCTGTTAGGTGTGAATCTACCTATCTCTTCCTCCCTCTCCCATCTACTTAATTTCTGTTGAGTTTTACTGTCACATATACACTTAAGTGTTGACTACTTCCAATTTAGTATTGCAAAAATGTGGCATTTGTTTTTCCATTCTTGTGATACTTCACTTAGAAGAACTGTCTCCCCTTCTGTCCAGGTTGTTACAAAAGATACTAGTTGAACGAGAGAGACTCTGTCTCTAATAAGAATAGAAAAACTAGTTGGCTTCTATGGCAAGTGCCTGTAGTCCAAGCTATTGGGGATGCTGAGGCAAGAGGATAACTTAAGCCCAAGAGTTTGAGGTTGCTGTGAGATATGATGCCACAGTATTCTACCAAGGGCAATAAAGTAAGATTCTGTCTCAAAACAAAACAAAACAAATAAACAACAACAACAAAATAGTAGTTGACCATTTTTTTTAGCCCTGAGTAATACTTGGCATAACAATACCACATTTTATTAATCCTCTCATGTATTAATGGGCACTTGGGCTAATTCTGCATCTTTATGGTTGTGCATTGTGCTGCTCTAAACATGTGAGTGCAAGTACCGTTTTATAATTGTCCTCTTCTTTACTCATTTTGTAAACTTTGAATCAAATTTCCATTATTAGGTTAGATACTGTAGCTCATAGAGGATGGGAGCAGATCCAAGTCACTGCTTTTTCATATGCTTGGACTGATGTGGAGGTAATATTGATGAGTTCAGGTCAAAGCCATACTTACTTATAAAAGTATTGCCCTCTGAAAAGCCCATAGAGTAAAGGTAAACAATGTCATAAGCATTGCCATTTACAACTGTACAGACCAAGGGCTTGGCCATCTGAAGGTCTGCTAAAAAATCAACTGGTTGGGGCGGTGCCTGTTGCTCAAAGGAATAGGGCGCCAGCCCCATATACCAGAGGTGGTGGGTTCAAATCTGCCACGGCCAAAAACTGCAAAAACAAACAAACAAACAAAAAATTAACTGGTTAAAGGTAGATTAATTTGTGGAAAGGTATATACATTTATTTAATGTATATTCAAGGGAGACTTCAGAATGAAAATTAAAAGATTAAGGGGAAATTGTCCGATTTTATGTTTTGGCTCAGCAAGTACAGATAGCCATGTGGAAATATGACTGGACAAAAAGGGCATGATCTGATGCTAATAGCTGGAGTGGGGAAACCCAGCAAGGCCATTTTGTCTAGATTCTTGCCCTCTCTTAGTGGGCATTCTTGCCTTCTGAGTGTGGGACAGGACCCTCTCTCCAACAGGAGTTTTATGACCTACAGTCAAGAAATGTAGATCAGATAATTTCTTTGTGTCCAGATTTTACATGGAAAGACAGATCAATTCTAACTTGGGTTCCTCACCACCTCTTAGGGGTGGGTTGTGGGTGGCGCAGCCATGTCACAGCCTGTCCTAGTCCATTTCTCAGGTGCCTATAAACAAGGAGAAGCAGCAGTCTTCATATAATAAGTACTTTGGAATAGTTTTGTCATAGCTGTTGCTTCTGTCTTGTGTTTGTGTCTCCCTGTGCAGGATGCCCCGACAATAGTTCCAGCTCTGGATGCAAAAGTCCCCTGGAGGGGTTTCAGGGCTGCCTGAGGCTCATCTCTATTGGTGACACAGCGGTGGATCCCATCTCAGTACAGCAGGGGTCCCTGGGGCGTTTCAGTGACCTCCAGATAGACTCCTGTGGCATCACAGACAGGTATGGGCTATCTTAGGTCATTTTAGCATACTTGTTTTCATAGTTTTTGTTGTTTTTGCTTCTGTTTGGTAAAAGTAGACTGCTGGAAAATAAGACATTTTCACATTCTTTCCACTGTCTTTCCAGAGGGAATTAAATGGTCATGTTTACAATGAGAATTAGAAAACCACATCTTTAATTGAATAAATAGCATTTGTCAAATTATAGTATTTTATTAGTATATGCCTGTTAAGATGGAAAACTCAGTAGGTGCTCCATGTGAAAGTAGAAAAGAATTTCTCTAGCCCAAGATTAGGATATAAAAGTGGAGATTTTGTTTTATCTTAGGAAGACAGAGGAGAATGGGGAGAGAAGAGAGAGCAGGGAGATGGCCTGGCATCCCCGAGAAAGAAAAGGAAGAATAACCCTACTGAGGTTCAGTGGGCAGCTGAATTTAAGGGCCGGGTGGAGGACTGCGGGGGATGGGATTATAGGGTTGGAGGGTGTAGGTAATTGCAGCTGAATTCACAGAGTATTTTGATATGAATTCTGTGTCTGTTTTTCCTCTGGCATGGTTGAAGACACACATTTTTCTAGGGGTTTCTGATCTGGAGGCCTATTTCATCGTTCCTACTCCATTGTTTGTCTAGGACACTCAGGAATCATTTGAGATTAAGCGAACAAATTCTAAAAGACAGAGGAGCTGATGAATTTAAAAAGGAAGAAGTTACATTTCCTTTTGTTTGCTGGGCTCCTCAGTAGTTTGTGAAAACAGAAATCCACTGGGAGGATGGGAGCAAGGGGCTGCCACAAGAGAAAGAGAAAGAAAGCAGGCAGAGAGTGAGATTGATTTTAGTCCTTACTGAAAAAACTGAGTTAATAATTTTTCTATCATTTCACTATAAAGACTGAGCATCTTTACTTACCCTATAAATTCTAGGCTACTTAGTTCATAATTGTCAGGCCAGCTTTGTAATCTTACCACAGTCAGATACATGATATTTTCCCAGGCAGAGGGATTTGACAGGTTACTATTCTTCATTAACTATCCAATACCACCTTTTCTACAGAGAAAATAAGCCATGAAATGTCTTTCTAGAAAAGTTTGAACCACAAAGATGGATGAATATATGTGCAAAATGGCATAGATGCAAGGAAATATGGAAAAGACAAGACAGACATTTAATTTATAAAAATTGTTATAACCACACTACACTACCAGTTGTGCCATATATTTAGAATGATTTTGAATGAAAAGAAACATTGGTTCACACCTGGAAAAAGAATATTCTACCTATCATATGCCTTTGTGCCATCCTTTCATATCTACTTTCAACAAATAGGTAAATGCTACAGATTAAAAATTAAAAAGATATATCTCTGTATGGTAGAGCTATCAAAACTTACATTCTTCATGGAGGGAAGTCTCTTAGTCAATTCTATTTTAACTGTAAACTTATTATCTCCAGATAAACAGGTTTTAATTTACAAACCATACTTAATGATATACTGAAAGGATGTAATTCCTATTACATGAAAAAATTCACTCAAACTTTATTTACTCAATGTCAATTAATTTGAGCAGTCCGTTGGTTTGTAAGAAAAAAAATTACTTGAAAGATGAGAAGTATGTAAAGTAAGAAACTCTCACTATTGACTTTGGGAATGCAATTCGTGGCAGAGACTGCATTCACTAGTCATCCCATGCTGGCTCCAGAAGCCCATGCAGTAGTTGTAGAGAGGGTAGTTGGGACAGCTTCTGGTTGCTTTCTCAACAGAGGTCAGCTCTCCAAGCAGGGAGCAGCCCCTTCTTGTTGTCTGTGGATAGAGGGGAGGTGTCCCATGGGCCAGCACTGTGAGTTATCAGTGCTGTCAGTTTAGCTATAATTCAAGTGTGATTTTCTTTGCTTGTAAGACATTGTTTTGATATCTTGTCCATTACTCACAAAATATCCATTCACAGCATATCTGTTATAAGAGTATATCTCAAAGCTATTCCTTTCCAGAAAAGGTCCACATTGAACTTTGCACATCTAGCTCAAAAACTAAAAGCTTTTTTTTTTTTTTTTGCTATTATTGGTTGTTTTAGTTCAACCCTAGAATTTCAGGAGTTTCACCAGTGTCTAACTTGGTCTCTAAGATCTAGTATTTCTAGAAGGATTCCAAAGTGGACACCAAGTTACTTAGACATGTTCAACTATACAGGTGTATGTGAGCCTCAGTTAATCTTCAGCGACAATGTGTACAGTAATTATCTCAGATAAGAGTCTTGAAAGGGCACTTTTTAAATTCTTTTCGAATGGAGGTTATTCATTGTATGGAAGTTTTTATAGTATTATAAAAGTCTAGCTCCCCTCATTTTTTTAAAACATGAATTTTATGAAAGAATAAATATTAAAATATTTTGGTGCACAAAATGAGGTTACACAAAGTTAAAATTAAAGGTCTTTGGTATTTCCTTTATATTTAGTTTGGAAATCCTAAAACTGCTGGAAATCATTTTTAAGGAATGGCTTTTTAAAAACAAACAACAACAAAAACAGTGACATGGAGGTAGGCATCAACCACCCCAGCCAGCCTTACCAGTCGCCCCAACTCCCGTGCTCTCTTCTAGCCAGCCTCTCAGCTCCCACTCAAAGGATCCTTGAAAACACCAAACACAGGCCCTTGGGGCTTCATGTCACTGCCACACCCAGCTCTCTGCAGGCCTTTCACCTCCATGCACAACCTCCCAGCTTCTCCTGCTGCTGTTCTAGGCCCAGCAGGCAGGGCCCACGCTCACCTCGGGCCCTTCCAGCATGGACCCCTGCTTCCCTCACAGTCTCACTTTCTGGGGCTGCAACCACAGTCTAGAAGGTCAGTGGCCTTTAGAACATTCACTCCCTGTTGCATTCTCAGCCTCATTCTCAACAGTGCAGGAGGTGGGCAGAGGCTGAGCAACAACCCTGTTGGCTGCAGTTCTGCTCAGGCAGCCTCTGACTAATGCTCCTGCTGTGCTCGCTGGGCAGTTCCCTGTGTTCCTTTCTCATAATCCTGGGGTGTAGGGGGCCAGGACAGCCACCTCAACTTCACATAGAACTCTGGAAATGAGTTTGTTCTTTTAAAGATTGTTTTAGCTATTCTTGGTCCTTTGAAATTCTGTATGAATTTTAGGATAGTTTTTTTTATTTCTGCAAAAAAAAAAAAAAAAAAAAAAAGGAAAAAGAAAGCCATTGGGATTTTGATAGAGATTGCATGGAATTTGTACGTAGACTGCTTTGGGTAATATTGACATCTTAATAGTTTTAAGTCTTCCAATAACTGATTGCTCATTCTAAATCTAAAAGGTGACCTAAATTAAATGTTCTTCAAAATTCCTGAACCTATATGAACTATGTGACTAAAGCTGCTCCTGTTTCTTTCTCTTGCCTTCTGGCTCTTCCTCCTTGCCTCTCCTGTTTCTTTTTTTAAATGTCCACAGTGTAGTAATGGAGCATAGCAAATTTTATAATTTTATGCATGTAATTCATTTTGCTAGGCACATGTGCAGTTATCATTGTATCACTTGGGGCAAAAAGAAAAAAGGTGTTGAAAATTCAGCTGTCACAGATACATAATGATCAGCTGCATGTGCATGGATATATTTATCTAAAATTTATCAGTATGATCAGAGAAGTTTGACAGCAGACACAGTAGTCTGGTGTTATATGGAGTTTTTCTGACATACACTATTTTGTTGCATGAACCTATTTTTAGTAAATAAGTACTTCATGATGATTGAAAAAGGAAATAGCAGTTGTATCTGTTATGTTTGTTTTTTTCTTTTAGGTGCTTGCCCAATTTCTGTGAGCATGGAGGTGAATGTTCTCAGTCCTGGGACACCTTCTCCTGTGACTGTCTGGGCACAGGCTACACAGGCGAGACCTGCCACTCCTGTAAGCCTCATGCCTCATTGTGCCATTTCCATTATGATTTCGTTGTCATTTCATTTTCATTAGTTGTTTATGTGTATCTGCACATCTGAAACATGCAAACACATCAGATGAGGTATTTTGGCACCTAATTAATTCCCTGTTTATTTTTAATCTAGTGCCTCATTAAATACAAGGGTGTTGAGGTAATATACAGACATACGTAGTGTAGAAAAAAGAAGCTGGGTAGCAATGGGAAAGTAAGTATAGGAAAATGAGATACAGCAAAGGGTGAAAACTAAATTTAAATCAAGAATGCATGATGTAAGATCTTGTTCCATTGCTTGAGTAGGGACATACTTTTAATTCTAAGAATTGGTTTAGTCAAAGAAGGGTGAAAAAAACAATCAGTTGCCAGTCTGTCAGTGTTAAATTTAATAACATTAAAGATTTCTTAAAAAAAAAAATCACCAAATAGGAATGCTACATGGTAGGGTTTTAGAAGAAGCAATTAGATATCAGCTAGAATCTAGACGACCTTTAAGGTCTCTTACAACTGTGATTATCTTTGATGATGATTGTAAAGTTAATAATACCGAAAGTATACATTTATTGAGTACTTAAATATGCCTTTCCTTCTCTAGTGCTTTGCATGTATTTAACCCTAAAGCAGTTCTAGGATGAAAGTACTGTTAGTATCTTCACTGCACAGTTGAGGACAGAAAGAGGTTAAGTAATGTGGCTGGTTGGTGGCACGATAAGGAGCTGAGCTAAGGCAGTTGGCTCCAGCATGCCCAAGGGATGATCCTCAGACAGGCACACATCAGAGCCACCAGGGAACTCATTACAATAAAGAATCTCAGGTCTCACCCAAGCCTGCTGAATCAGAATCTCTGGGATGGGGCCCAGGAGCCTGTTTTAACCAACTTCCACGTGCTTCTGCTGTATATGAATTATAAGAATGATGTCTAAGGGATGCTGTATTCTAATGCTTCTCTACTGCCTCTATATTAAAAACCATCTGTCTTTACTGAAGAATCATCCTCTGTGTATTTTAAAGGCCATGCCATTTTATTGATCTCTAGCTTGTTAACAATTAGAATATGACAGAATTCTGAAAAGCCCATTTTTTTCTGTTGGTTTTTGTATTTTGTTTTAACTTTTAAGATTTTCTTCTTCTTTTGGTGTGTCTTTAATGACATTTCTGAGCAACTTCTTAGGAAAAAGTTCCCTTGTCCCTGGGTCTTAAAGAAAATGAATGAATAGTCCTCATTCTACCACTGACTTGCTCACACTGTGGTCCTACCTGAAAATTTTAAGAACTCTTCCATGAAGTATATTTAATTTGATTTTCACAAAAACTATAGAAAAAAGGAAGGGGGTGGGGTTTTTTAGCTCCCTAATTTTATTTTACTTTATTTTATTTTATTTCAAGTTAGTACCAAGGTACAGATTTTTAGGTTACATTGTTCTCACTTCCAAGGTAAAGTTCAAGTTTACACATGCAAATAAATCTAAATGAAGACCCTTAGATTCCCAGCTCAGTTCTGCAAAAGATCTGGTTAATTCTGTTACAGGCCAAAATGTCAAGTATGATCTTAGTACTAGAAGGGTCTTTTGAATGCCATATCCACTTTTTCTGGGAGTTGGGTGTCCTCTAAAACCAGAGGCTAGATGTCTTGAGAAGATCACAGAACTGGTATAGGGACCAGATCTTGTACTTCTGTGTATCTTCTATCCTCTGAGCAGAGTATCTTACATAAAGCAGATGCCTTCTGTCCTGTGCGTTGCTAGGCAACAACTCTGTGCCCCTGCCATAACCAGCATCACCTCTTTCATGTGGCCATTAACGAATGAGTTGTGTTAATGCATGGTTGTTCACCATAATCAAAATGTAACTCTAAGCAATTCAGAAGGAAAATACCAGAAGATTGAAAAAATGATTTCAAATGTCAATCTGATCTAATAATTGGGTTGCCTCTGTTGTGGTTTTCAAACAAATGCTCTAAGCAAAAGTATAATTTTACCAAGCCATTGAGCATGAGGCTAGGTTGCCACACCTAGTTATAATAGGTTATTTTTGGTTTGAATAATTATACAATTAGGACATGTGTACATTGTCATTTAAAAAGTCAAACAAGGCTCAGCGCTGATAGCATAGTGGTTATGGTGCAAGCCACATATTTCAAGGCTGGTGGGTTCAAATCCTGCCTGGACCAGCTAAACAACAATGACAACTGCGAACAAAAAGTAGCCAGACGTTGTGGCCAGTGCCTGTATTTCCAGCTACTTGGGAGGCTGAGGCAAGAGAATAGCTTAAGCCCAAGAGTTTGAGGTTACTGTGAGCTGTGACACCACGGCACTCTACTGAGGGTGACATAGTGAGACTCTGTCTCTCAAAAAAAAAAAAAAAAGGAAATAAATGGTAGTTTATTTTTTAAAAAATAATAAAAAAGTCAAACAATTCACATAAAGCAAAAGTTCTAATCAGTTCTCCTCAATATTTGCTCCCATCTAAACCTACTCTGTACCCGAATCTAACCACTGTTAATAATTTGAGTGAATCTAAGAGTCATTTATAAACATATATGTCTTTTAAAATAAATATATAATAAGTAGCAAAAAAAGGAAAGAATGACAGAAAAGCCATCCATCTATGAAACTGTGAAAGAACATCATTGATATGGGGTAATTTGCTGTGGAACAACTCCTGTTTGAACTTTGGCACATTTATATTAAGGTTGCTTAGTTTTACAATTATTCTTCCTTGCAATAAAATAGTTCTGCACCTCTCCTATTTTGTGAAATGAGAGAAAAATGACTCCCATATCTGTCTTTGTGTTTTGCCTTAAGTATTTGAAAACATTTTTTCAATGACTATTTATGAAAGTAAATGTGAATAATTCAGTCAATGTAAAAATGCCTTTCTTATAATGGCATAAATATTTTCCTTTTTCTTTCCCATATGATGGCTTATTTTCCCTTATATTTCATCTGTTTACTCCATTTGTCCTCCCTAACCTTATATGTTAAGATGCCAAAATGGACCAATGCAGGAGAGGCTGATACTTTTAGTGTCCTAATGAGAGGGTCCACCAAGGCTAGTTTCCCTCATGTAATTTCTTCCAGAAACCACTATCATCCTTCTGCTTCTTCCAATGAGTGCTTTCCTGCCAGTCAGCATGTCACTGTGCTCATCTTCCTTATGCTAAGCATTAACATGTCCATCACCCGCAGATGTTAATTCCATACCTTGCACTTGATAAGACATTTACTTTCACAATAAAAATATTCCAGAATAAGTTAAACTTATATAGGAATATCTCTCAAGAAAATGTTTTCTCTCCTATTTTGAGTTTCAATTGTCTTGAATTATCATTTGTAGAATACTTAAGGAAACGTCATTTCCAAATCAATTTTAAATCTTTTCTAATGAGGAGAGTTTTCTGGTTTATAAATTACATTTATCTCTTTAAAATCCTCATTTGTAAGTTGTTTTTAAGTAAGCAGCGAATATAATTAACACATAATTTAAAATACTTTACAGCATGTTAATTGGATAGTTTAGTTATAGTAAAACTAATGTACTTCAGTTATTACAGCTAAAATGAGGGTGGCTTCTTTGAATACAGCATTTAATTCTGAAGTATAGTTGCCACGAGTTTGAAAAGAATCATTCTTCCACAGCACATAGGATTTGGATTAAAAGGTTTCTTTATATTACCTTTTCAAATCTTTTTACACTGTACTTCAGAATTTTCATGCTTCCTAATTTAAAAGCAAAAGAGAACATTTATGTAGAGAAAATATATAATTCTAGACATTGCTAGAAGACTATCTATTAAAGATGCTATCATATTTCCAATACAACCACACCTCCATTTGTAAACACCAATACACTATATCCTTCTTCCCCTATATAAAAATATACAATATACAAAGTATTTATTCATCATCTTACAGCTTCAACATTGAATTCATTTTGACTAGGTAATTTCCTTCTCCCTTGTTAATAAATATACATATATTTTTAAAATGACATTTTTTCCATCTAATTACATATGTCAAATACATTAATAAAAAATGTTAGATAATATTTGTCATGTGTCTGTAATTCAGAAATGGAAACCTTTTGGATACTAATTAAAATCTTGGGGATTTGTTCTGTTTCTGATGGACGGTATTCTCCTTCAGCTCTCTACGAGCAGTCCTGCGAAGCCTACAAGCACAAAGGGAACCCTTCTGGGCTTTACTACATTGATGCCGATGGGAGTGGCCCCCTGGGACCATTTCTTGTGTACTGCAATATGACTGGTATGTTAATAACCTTTAATGCATTTATCTGCTGTTTACAGATAAGATTAGAAAGGACTAAGGAAAAATTTACCTAGTGCCAGTGTTATTAAAACATGCAGTTTGATAGTTGTGTACTTATTAAGTAGAAGTATTAAATGTGCATTTGTTAATTTTATTGTCAACAAAATTTTCTTGTATTTCTTGTTTACCTAGGTTGGATTATAGGCAAGATTTGAGCTTATCTGATATTATAAAACCCATTCCTGGTTTAGATATTATTCAAATGATCACAGCTGGATGATAGAAGAGTGCAGTAAAACATCTCGTAGACAGTTAAATTTTTACAGAAATTTTTTATCACCCAGCTCTTCCAACTCTCCTGAAAGTGGAATAAATAGTTCTCATTTATTGTGCTGAAAAAATGTTCCAAAGTTTCATAAATTTTGACAGTAACCAAACGGGTCAGCAAACCAAGAAAAACAAACAAACAAAAAAAACCCAGATAACTAAAAGTACATAAGAATTAAAAATGCTTTAGCAAAGATTGCCAAAAAATACTAAAATTTCATAGGGGGAGTTTAGAAAATTCAGAGCCACTTATACAACAATGTACTGAAGATAAAGAAACAGAAGCCCTGCTAAGAGATATCAATCTAAAGTTAGAAATTCTATAAAGGTCTTGGCAAAAATCAAAGAATTCAACAAAAGTTGCAACCAGGAGAACTTTTGTGATTATCATTTTAAAATGTGGAAACCAAAGCTCAGAAAACTGACAAAATCTAGTTAATTACAGAGGAATCAGTAAATGTGATCTTTTTTCTGTCCTAGAAAGTGTTACCTTGTTTCTAGACACTGCATTGCTCTATAGCCAATAAAATATAGTTATACAAGTTAAGCAATAACAATTATAAAATGTGTAATAGCCAAGCTACTATTCCAGTAGCTTAAAAGGTATATATGGTAACAACCCTCAAAAAACAGAAGTTTCAATCCAGCATGGTTGCCACTTGAAGTAGGCACTCTGCTATAACAAGTAAAAAGCTGTACAAACTGAAAAATCAACAAATTCTTTTAGACCCAGCAGACAAGTGAGGTCACAGAGCAAATCTTTGCAACATTCCCAAACTACATCCCAGGCAGGCAAATACATAGAATCACAATTTATCCCCACACGGAGAAACCTTTGGGGAAACCAGCATCAAGTTTCGAAAACATAAACTGAAATTGATGAATTGTTGGATGCTCAGTGTAGACAAGTCTAAGACTTAAAAACTCCTGGGGATCCAATCATAGAAGGATTCTCATGCTTTTGTGAGTTTTACCTCTGGAAACTTGAGAAGGTTCTTATAGTGAATATAGGAGAAAAATCTCTTCATGCTTCCAGAAGGAGAAGGTAAAGAGGAACCATTTTGAAATACACCAGAGCATCCTGGTACTTCTTGACAAGGACAACCCTCAAGAAAAAAATTTTACCCAGACCTAAACTACTATTCCTTTCAGAGCCTAACCTACCCAGTGAAATGGAACTACCCAGCTTCAGTTCCCTCTAGCCATCCTATCCCACCTAAGGTGGTGATTGGAGGATGGCTGAGAAGCAGCTTGTGAAGTTCACAGTCCAAAGGCTCAGGCTTGCTAGAAGACTGAGACCTTATCCTGGAACTACAGAATACTTCCTTTCCTCACGTCTTACTTACATGACTACAGGCCTACTTAGAGCAGTTACTGTTACCTACTGTTACCTAAGTACATCGTGTTTTGCCATCAAGAAGGCATCAGGAACAGACTCAGATATGGCAGGGATGTTGGAATCATTAGGCAGGGAATTTAAAACAACTATACTTAATATGCTAAGAGCTCTAATAAATAAAGTAGACAGCATTCAAGAAAAGATGAACAATGTGTGCAGAGAGAGGAAAATTCTAAGAAGGAGTGCTAGAGATTAAAACAACTGTAACAAATAGCCGGGTGTTGTATATACATGCACACACAGGGTGACATAAAGTTCTTGTGCAATTTACTATGTTAAACTAGTTTAAATTGCACACAATTTATGTCCACCCTGTATACATACATGCACACCCTAGGTATATATTTTCAAATGCTAGAAAATCAAAGGTAAAGAAAAAAATCTTGAAAGAAGTCAGATGAAAAGAAATACCTTACTGCAGAGAAGCAAAGATAAGTATTCCATCTGACTTCTTTTCAGAAGCCATGCAAGCGAGAAGAGTGGAGTAAGAATTTAAAGTGTTGGTAAAAAGAAAAAGAAAACAGCAACTTAGAATTCTCTACCCTGCAAAATTATCCTTGAAAGTGAAGAAATACTTTCTCAAACAAAGGGGTTTGTTCTCCGAAAAGAGATAATATTTAAGATGTGTGTCTCTAATAACAGAGCACTGTGGAACTTGAGGGATCTATTTTTTTTTCTTCCTATACACACGAGAAGGGGCATCCTAGATGCTGGGTATTCATAGGATATATTGAGCACATTTTATTATTTAAATACAGATCCTCCCCAGTTTATGATGGTTCCACTTAAAATTTTTCAACTATGTGTTGTGAAAGCAATACACATTCAATAGAAATCATACTTCTGCTTTTCACTTTCAGTATAGTATTCAGTAAATTACATTAGATATTCAATATTTCATTATAAGATAGCATTGTACTAGATGACTTTGCCCAACTATAGGCCCATATACTCATTCTGAGCACATTTAAAGTATACTAGGCAAGTGTATTAAATGCATCTTTCACTTATGATATTTTCAACCTATCATGTGTTTACTGAGTTGCAACCCCATTGTAAATCAAGGAGCTCCTAATCTCAATCAAATTGTGAATTAAATTAGCTTAACTTTGATAATGAAAAATAACCCAAACTCTATAAAATAATTTAAAGTGCTTTATTCTGAGCCAAGTAAGAGTGACCATGGCCTGGAGCCACACCCAGGAAGTCTTGAATAAGTGGTTTTGCCATGGCTGGGGTTACAGTTTGGTTTTCTTTAGGAAGAAAAGAATTATACATAAAGTCTTAAGTCAATACATGGAAGATGTACATTGCTTTGGCCTCAAAAGGCAGGAAGTGTTGAAGTGAGGCATTACAGGTTATAAGTGGGTTTAAAGCGTTATCTTTGAGTTATAATTGATTAAAGAACTGAAGTGTTGTCTAAAGGCTTGGAATGCTTTAAGCTGAGGAATTCTGTTAATCAGAGACAAGCTACAGAACATATACCCAGACTCAAGTGATTTAGTAAGTAAATGGATGACCTGCAGACACGGCGTAAGCTTTGACTTTCGTAGACTCAGGCCTGTTAATGAGTTACAAAGAATGTCTCCAAGAAGGTAAGGGGGCCTAAGGAGTCCTGTCTGACCTCCTTTCTGGCCAGCAACTCAGTTTAGGATACTCCTGGGGTCCATTGGCCAAGAAGGGCCTCTTCAGTCATCTGGGAGGGCTTAAGATTTTATTTTAGTTTACAGTTTTCTAAACTGGATATTTATTTGCACAATAGCAGGGTGAACAGAATCACCTAATATTCACCCTCCTTTGTAGGCCAATGAGACAGGCTCCAGCGAGTCAGACATACCTGTGTCTGATTCAACCGTAATTTCTGAAACCCTTCCAACATTTTAGCCATTGTTAAAATTAATTTTCTCAAGTCTAATTCAAGATTCAAACTATAGGGATCATAAAGTATGTACTTTTCCATTGTAATGATTACTTAAAAATTTTAGGCGTCTTCTTCATAAATATAGAGGTTATATTAGAGGCTCTTTAAGATACTTCCTAGCTCCAATATTAAAAATCTATTAAAATAAATCATGAACAATTAGAGAAACAACAAGTTTCCTCATTCTTCCTTGGGCCTTTTACTATTGATATCATAAAGAATAGTGACTTAAGTGTAATTATATAAAAACAAACATGTATCTCATAATGTCCTTAGATTACTGTTATATTTTCCATAAAAATAGTTTTACAGATATATTCTCAGTACTGAGGACATTTTCCATTACTACACTTTGACCACGCACGCTGCAAATCTGCTATACTGACCACCAACCTGTGTGGCTACTCCGGACCATCATTTCTCTCCCTCTGTGCTACACACCACAGCACCTGGCAGCAAGCAGCACCTGGTTGATCATCCTCAGTGCCTAAGCTGGTGTTCTATAGTTCTGTAGGGTTTCTCTGTGTTTGAATCAGAAACCTGAATGTAGAGCAGGTGATGTGTAGAAAATAATGCCAGGTTTTAAAAACTCTAAAGTCCAAAAGATTGCTTAGTTATAATATTATTAAAAGAAAGTCATGGAACTGAGATTGCCAGAGGAAGCTTTTGAGCCTCCTTTGGTGAGGATAGTAAGCTAAGCAACAAATTAATTCAAAATTGTATTTGTTATTTAACTTTGCAGATTCTGTCTGTGCACGCTGCTCATTTGTGGGCATCATGTCCTTGCTGTCCATAGGTTCTGTGGCTAAGGAGATATTCTAGTTTCTCATCCCTCTTTCCTTGGATCTCTTTTTTTAGTTGTTGCTTTGATATGTTAGAAGTGTGTAAGCAGCAGTGAGGCTATTAAATTTGTCTCACACATTTTCAGTAGCAAAGCCATTACAAATCTTGATATGTGAAAGAGTGGGAGGATGATTTTTCAATGTAAAACCTATTAAATAGCTTTGGTTCCTAATTCTTAAAAAAAATCTCCATGAAAATGTTACCCATTCTTTCCCATAGGAAACTTCCTATGGGAAGTGTTTATTATACTACATATATTTTCTCAGAGGTTAAAGGACCAAAGTAGTAAAATCAAGATGACTTCAAGTCAGCTTCTTATACACTGAATACTGTATAACATTGCAGATGTTTAGCAACTGAGCGATGGTTTCAGCCATTCTCACAACCGCACACAAAAACACACAACAGCGATAATGAACACCACGTCAACACAAACACAGTTGTGAGACATGAATGCATCAAGGTTATGAACTCTTACTGAGTTGTTTGTATAATACTGCCAACATAAGCGCAAACTGTTGAGTTTACAAACTTAGTTTATCAGACCTTGTGTACAGCTTTAGACATAATGTTGCAGAAATCTGAACACTAGTTCCCCCAATATATTTTCTCTTACTGGCTGAGTTCTGGATAAACACATTATTATATAAATCCAACCCTTAAAATTGCTGCTAACATCCAGTAACATAAATTTCAGTTAAAAAGCTAATGGAAATAAAAGCTGCTTCTGCTTTTCACATTTCTGTTGGCATCTGCAGCCCAGTGATACATCCTCTTTTCCTGGTTCTGTCAGCAGACACAGCCTGGACAGTGGTACAGCATGGTGGCCCTGACACTGTGACAGTTCAAGGCATGGCTCGAGGGCACCCACACTCCACAGCTTCCTTCACGTATGTGGCTGGCCCTGGGCAGCTGCAGGCCATGGTCATCCACGCTGAGAGCTGTGAGCAGCAGCTGGCTCTGAGCTGTGGTATGGCACACTTCTCAGACACACAAGGTAAGGGACGAAGTGTTGGCTTGATGCTACGAGGGTGTGTCAGGCAAACACACTGCATTCACAGTGGTGAGCTGTGTTTCTGTGGAGAAAAGGCCAAGGTCATTTACATGGCACTCAGTTCAATGACCTGACTGCTTTCTCTGTCCCTTCCTTCCCATTCTTGACTGAACTAAAACAATAAAGAGTGCCCTTCTGACAGTTGATAGACTTTCAGTGTTCATGTGTAGGTTGTGACATGTACTTTTTTTAATCAAAGGGAATTTTGCTAATAATATTATGACAGCTTTCTGTTAACCACTGGGACATAATGGCTATAGGGTGAGTTGAATCTAACCCCATTGTTTCCAAAGACCAGTGGGAAGCAATGATGCTTCCCCCTTAGTGTTAGGCTGAGAACTCATGGTGTGGGATGAGAAAGAATTCTCAACACAAAAATTAGGACATATTTATAGCAAAAGTTTATATTACTTTCTAAGAGGAAAGAGACTGTCATGAAAGCAAAAGAAAGAAAAAAACAAGCTGGCCCTAATGGAGAAGATTTTGGACTTTTTATTAGGCATTATTGAGGAAAACAATGCTGTTTCTGCAAACTGATAATAGAAGGCAGCCATGAAGCATCTGTACTTGGATTTTTTTTTTCTTTCAGTTTTGGGCCAGGCTTGAACCTGCCACCCCTGGTATATGGGGCCCGGTGGCCTATTCCTAGAGCCATAGGCATCTCCCTGTACTTGGATTTTTACCCTATTTTTCTCTTTCCCACTTCTTTGCCAGTTTCTTTGTGGTTCTGGCAGATGTGGAGGGGGTTACTTTTTTATATCTGCTCAGTGCTTTTCAAGGGCTATGAAAACAAACTCTTAAAGACAATAAGTAAACTCATAGGTGGTTAATCAAACAAAGGAACAATTCTTTGCTGTTTTTTCTTTCTCTTTTTCATCCTGTTAGTTTTTTTCCTAATGTTAAATAGTTTATGAGCAATGCTGTCCTCTCATTCCCTTCTTCTGTTGGATAGAATAGATATTTTTATTGATGTGCTTGAAAATTGGGGTATTTGGATTATGGTGTGTTCTTCTGTAATGGCTTCCTGCTGACTTTAGGTCATAAAGTTGTCCCTACCTGAGAGTCCAGTTAAGGGTCATTAAGGGGAAATAGTTGAAATTGTACGGTCTTAAAAGCCAGAGTAGATGCAGGATAGGGATTTTGTTGGCGGGAAATAGCAAGAGCTTGAAGTAAGTTTTGTACAAATGTTAATAAATAGTGGATGATGCAGGGTTTGAAAATGAGTGCTAAAGGTAGAACTGTTAAGAGTACTAAGAGAGGTGTTAACCGAGAGAACTGTGGCTCCTTCCCCAGTGGTAGCCAACATTTGGGGAACTTCCTTCTGCTCTTAGGCCTGCTGCCAGTCCCATTTCCTCTTTTTCTCTTTCATCTCTTCATTATGGTTTGCTAAAGACCTTGAATGCCAAGTCTGAAGTCCCACTTATGGAGTTTGAGGCCCCTTTTCAAGTTTTGGAGTCTATGCCAAATATTGGGGCTGACTAGGAGATGAAGTGCATAGCTAGGATGGATTGTCCCTCAATTGCATCAGGATCTAAGTTAGTAAAGTGGAGAATGGTCTCAGTTATGAAAGAAAAGGATGTGACTTTTATACTGTCTGTGAGTAATTTATTATGCCTTCTGACTCAGCAATCTCCCAAAGAGGAATTTGGTATACAGGTGGGGAGGGATTTTGGAAGAGCAAGCCAGAGAAAACATGGTAGGGTGAGGGTAGTGGAGAAGAAAAGAGGAGGAAGAAGGGGGAGCTAAAGAGAAACATCTCAAATTTAAGACAGTGGAAGAGATGTAAGGATAAGAAGTAATGCTATGTGACAGGCACAATGAAGATCTTGGCACACTTCGACTCTCCTTTGCTTTTGTTCATCAGTGAGCTCTTTTGGGACTACTTTTTTTTGCACACATTTTTCTCACACCAAGATTTTCAGTTAAGATATTTGTAACTTTTTCTATTGGTGTTTATGTGTTCTGCTATGCTTCTCACAATCAGATGATGATTTTAATGCATAACTAGACAAATTTTTGCAATATTTTCATCAGTTCTGCTTGTTACTGGCTGCTCTGACCTCTCTTCATCAGTGATACCTCTTCCTTCCCTCAGAATAATGTTTAATCCATTTGTACACGGCCATTTTCTTCATGGTACTATCCACATAAATTTGGACTAACATGTCACTGATTTCACTTCTACTCTTGCCAAACTTAACAAGAAATTTAAGAAGGTTTGCTCATTGCTCTAATTCAAAGTCGGATATTCTTAAAACAGCACACAAAAACATGTAAAAATAATAATAAATACCATTCACCAAGACACCACCACACATCAACATGAATACAACTGTGAGGTACTGATATGCCAAGGTTATGAACCCTTATCGAGTTGTTTGTACAGAGCTGCCAATATAAGTACATGGTGTCAAGTTCATGAACTTAATTGTCAGACCTCAAATTACCCAGACCTGGTATCCCCACTTTGGTCAAGGATGAAATAATTACTGAAGTTACTACAAGACTTTTTTCAGCTGATGTCTCATTTTCTCCACATTATCCAATGTGTATCTTATTCTTAATAAATGTGAATAGCTCTTAGGAAGCTCTGTCTGTACAATAACCCTCTTCTCTTAAATCATAGCAACATTGTTAGGCCTATAATCCTAGCAATCTGGGTGGCTGAGGAGGGAGGGTCTCTTGAACTCAGGAGTTTGAGACCAGCCTGAGCAAGACTGAGACCCCATCTCTACCAAAAATATTACCCAGGCATTGTGGCAGGCACTTGTAGACCCAGCTACTGTGGTGGCTGAAGCAAAAGGATCTCTTGAACTAGGAATCTGAGGTTGCTGTGAATGGGAGTGATACCACAGCACTCTAGCCTGGGACATAGCATGGGACTCTGTCTTAAAAACAAAACAAACAAACAAAGGCACATATTTTTTTCTTTTCAGGAAGTTCCACAGTCTCCTAGAGAACTCCCCATTGCTCCCCAACACAGGTACTATATGGTTACTGCAAGTATTTTATTATTAATGATAGTTAAATATTGAAGTTTTGCCTCTCATTTTTTTTTAAATTTAGCAAACAAAAATATTACAGCGTCCATACATACGCACATAGCAAAAATGGGAAAATATAGCTAAATATACTTGTATTTAGAATATTCACTACATAATTTTATAAAATATTTCTCTACCTGTTGATATTTAAATATAAAAAAATTAAAAATATAAAGAGTTTGTTAATTTTTTCTATGTATGGTGGCCACTGGGTCACCCCATGTATGTTGAGCATAAGGAAACTACTCTTAAATCTCACTGCTTAATTTTCAATGCACAATCTTTTGTTAAGTTGAAAAGTGGGTATTGCTCTCATTTGGAGGTGAGCTGTACCTCCAACTGTGTTCCCTTATCTGCCTCTCTCCTGGCCAGTTGGGTCTGAAAATATGTCAGACCAGGTTCTTCCCCAGCCAGGAGCTTGCTGCCACTTCCTCTACCTGGATGGCCTTTCCTTGCCTTTCAGTCTCACCCACAGGTCTAGGTCACAGGTCAGGGTTTATCTAGACCTGCCCCATCCCCACTTGAGTTCCTTCTCAGGACTATCTATCCCTTCTCTGGATGCCTGCCAACCACCTCGGCCTACTAGAAAAAGCAGAGGACTTCTTCCATTTCTAAATCTGAGGTTCAAATTCCAAGTCTGTCACTTAGCAGCTGTGGAAATTTAGCTCATTTTTAAATCATTCTTAGACTCACTTTCCTCTCAGGTGAAATAGACTCTATAGTCCTACATCATAGATTTGGATATTTGGATATCATAAATTTGGATATCTCATCACATACATAGATGAGATAACCTATGGAAATGTTAGGAAGTTAAAAATTGTCATTCTCAGCTCTTCCGCTTTTTATATTTATAGTTGGTATTACAAATTTTATTATATGTATGACAGTTCATTGCTGTTTAATTTTAACTGGTAAGAAAAATACTTCTAGTAATCTAAACCAAGACTATGGTAGAAAGCACATTAAATTAGTTAACCAGGCAATGCAAGCCTAAGTGAAGAAATGGAGCAAGTTGCTTGGGATTAAACCTCGAATGGAACCAGAAAACCACATCACCTAGTGAGTTAGTGGACAAGCTCCACACGTGGACTGGCCAGCAGCCTGGACAGTGCACAGGTGTCACTGATAATTTTCTTAATTCTCCTCTTTTGAAAAAGAAACTATATTTCTTTTATAAAATTTCTTTGTTATTTCTTATTACATCAAAAAGAGGTAGATCATGTATACATTAATGCATTTAGGGGGTAAAATGTGCTGATTTCATATACATGAATACAATTTGGAATGCTTACACACCTATGGTGCATATTGCAAGGGTACATGTTGGTTCTATTAAGCATGGAGTATAAATATCTCAATACAATAATTAAGCAAATGAGGTGAGGGATATATTCTTTTTTTTTCTTTACTTAACTTTCTTTAAATTTTGAGATAATTGTAGATTCACATGTACTTGTCAGAAATAAATGAGAAAAGCTGAGAATCCTTTATCCAGCAAGGAAACCCTCCCACAGGCTGGTATTTAATGCATGCATTTGCTAGCTATTACCTTTTTGGATTTATTTTCACATATAAGGATTATTCTAAAACAACAAAAACAAAATTTTAATTTGTGGAATGGAGCATTGAAAGTGAAAAGAATATGAGTTTGTAAAACTGCTTTAGAAGCATTCCTCCTTTACATGCCGCACTGCTACCTCAGCAAAACGGCCACCGCAAAGTTTTAAATATAAACTTAATTTAGGCAAACACCTAGGATGGACCTAATATTTCCAGAAGCTCTTGATTTTTACCTGGCTAGTGGACACAAATGGGTCAAAGGGACCTTTAATCTTTTCCTCTGCAACACTGTAAAATGAAGTAACATCTGGCTCTGTATTGTACTGATGCCTATGT